AACGTCCTGTATCCACCAATGTTTTATGGATTATTAAGTCCATGATATCAATTGTAATTACCAGAGCATCCCTGTGACGGACCCTGTCTCTGGTAAATTCGCACTAGAGAAAGCAATTGGCTAAGTTTTGATTCTCTAACATTCATGCTGGGGAGCTATAACTTTGTTCACCGAGACTCCATTCATCCACTTTTTCCTGCTGGTGGCCGAATCTCCACCTGTGTTCCTCCCGATGATGTAGTTACACCCGTGGTGCCTCTTCCGCCGATTCGGACTAAGATTCAAATCCTTGTCTTCCTCATCCTCTAATCCAATGTATCTCTTATTCCGGGACTACACCTGAGCAATCTGGCCCTCCTTACGTCTCCTAGGTCCAGAGTTCTGGGTTTCCTCCTCGAACTGGTCCTAGACGAACTTCTTCAAGTGTCCTCTCCAGATCAGTCGAGCCATCTCGTTCTTCAAGGTACAACAATCTTCTGTATTTTGATCATTCTTCCGGTGGTACACACACCATTTTCTTGTTTCCTCCGCATTACCCACATTTTGGGAGTAAGTGGGGTAGGTCACGAGACCTGCTGGGTAGCGTGCGTCATCACCTCCGGTATTGTGATGGTGAAAACCGGATTGTGCGAGTTTGAGGTATTAGAGGATCCGGGAGACTGACCCTTAGGCCCATCCGGAAACCTGACTACTTCCCTTTCTACGGCTTCCCCTTCTACCTGTTTCCCCCTACTGGGGTTTCTCCTTTTTTTCCTCCTTGCGCTCTTCCAAGGTGACATGTCTCCCTGTCCGGACCAAAGATTCTTCAAAGGTTTCTGGGGATGAGTTGTCAGATCCGTGTGGAGAAGCCCTTCCTGAAGAGCAGCAATAAACATCGCTAGGCGAGCCTTATGGTCGGCACCCTCTACTTCCCTATATTCCTTCCTCTAGCGTGTCAGAAAATTCTTCAAGGATTCTCCATTCCTCGGACGTATCGAAGTCAGGTGTGTGGAATGCTTCTTCGGGCGGCAATTTCCCGCAAAATGCACCAAGAAGCGCATACCCAACTGATCCCAGATCCGAATCAACCCGAAAGGAATATGGTTGACCCAATCCGCCACCTTAGTGTCGATGATCTAGAAAAAGTTGCGGCACATCAGGGCATCTGTCGCATCCACAACTATCATCACCTACACATAACTGTTTATGTGTTTTAGGGATCCGATTCCCCATCATATCGTTTGACGAATGGGACCTTGAATCCTATCGAGTATGGTTACGAAATATCTTTGGAGCAAATGGGGTATTCGTCCAGGTGGTAAAGACCTGGCTGTGGTTGAACCTCTATTGAATCTCTTAGATTTAGCATTGTATCTTAGAAATCCCCCATTCCCAAATTTGGCTGGTCTAGGCATTGAGATGCCGGGATTCGGACCTGGCTATGGGCTTCATCTTCTTCAACTTTCCTTGGCTCAGCCTGTGATTTGGTGCGGTGCGAATCCCAGTTTGATTATTCAACGTGGCTTTGCTAGGGTGGTTCCCATCCAAGCGGAGCTTTCTCCGGATTCTTCCAAAGTCGTGCACTGACCGGTATCCTCCCTTATGTCATTCGCTCATAGACCAAACCCTTTGTTTCTCGATCTCCGCATGGCGCTGCTGGCCATCTACCTGATGAGCAATCGCGGGTCCTGAGTCTTTTCCTGGGTTAGCCTGTCGCACTCCCGGGTGTTCTGGGCCAACTCTTCCTTGAGACGTCTTCGTACCGTCTCTCTCTCTCTCTCTCTCGTTCAATCTCCTCCATAGTATGGAATTCTTGTAGAATGGGTTTCATCAATTCTGGCCGCGTCTGGGGAATCTGCCTCGGGACCCAAGGGCCCCAGTCGGTTCATAACATTTTCCATCATGTTGGCAAGGTTGTTCAATGCCACTTCCACGCTGCTAGGCTGTGTGGAAATCGGCTGTTCAGGGACTCTTATCGCGGCTGACAACTGCTAAGAGTTTGCAGCACTACGCCTAGAGTTTCTCGTTCTTTGACCGGCTATACTCTCAACTCACAATCTCTCAATCTTAAAGCTCTCAACGAGAGCACCAATGATGGGATTTAGTCAACCAACTGTGGTGACGATGAAACACTATAATAATGAATCTTGATGTATTTTATTAATTTGTTTTTGCTTGTTTCTTGCTTGGTTTAAAATGGAGGGTTCTCCCTCTATTTATACTACGTTACATGTTGGACACTTATTGTGTGCATAAATCTCGACCATTATCTCTTGTACATTGATCGTGGTGGTTAACATCTCAACCCATAATCTTCCCATGACTTGGTGCTGTATTATTCGCTTGAGCCTATCAACACGAACTGGGCATTTAGTATCCCATTTACCAACCCCCATCCCGTACTGCCCAGACCACTCTCTTTGGAATTGGCCGTTCATATTATTTTAATGGGACCTGATATCCATCAACGAGAAAGCATTATTCAGGTCAAATTTATCAATGAAAGTGGGCAAACCTTAAACATATTTTTTTGTAATACTTTGACTGCTAGTGATACAAGTACTCATGCAGGTTTCTCTGTACCTCCACTCCCCGTGTGACCCAAAAGGACTGGTCAGCGAGGGTGACTTGATGATTTCAAGCGTGATAGGTCAACACAAATGTACTTCCCGCCCTTGATGATTTCCTCACAAGCCCGGTAAGTGGAGGACTTCTTGATGGGTATATCCTTATACCCGACCCGGATAACCGAAAGGGACAAGTCAAAATATGACTGGTCACTTTTATCAATCACCAGATGAGGTTAACTCTTTGATTGGGACGGGTCAAAAGTTGACCAGTCACTTCCACTAAAAAAGTGACCGGTCACATTTTGGGCGATAGCCAATTCGTCACTTAATGTTACAAAGGATATTCCGGAGGACCAAAGAGACGGGTTGAACTCAAAAAATGACCGGGGTAACCTTTTAGAAAAGGTGACCGGTCAGGTTGCGTTACTTGAGAATGGCAATCAACATCAGAGGTCAGGGGACCCCCCGCCATTCGTCCGTCACAAGGCAAACAGTGAAAGGAATGATTGTCATTTTGCAAGATTGATTGGATTGAGAATATCCATGTTATAGTCTTTGATTGAATAGTACATGTCTTGGCTTGTAGTTGCTTGATTCATTGATTGAATAGTAGATTGGTTATGTACAGTGACCTTCCTTCGGGTTTCCTATTTTGTCCATGGATGAACAGGGGAAGGTCACAAATCCTCCTCTATAAATATGATGATATTTGATAGAGGAGGGGATCCATTCTTTCTCTCACTAAAAATAGTACACTCTTGAGACAGAGTAAGAAATATAATTCGGACTGAGGAGATTTACCCAGTCTAGGCCATACTTTGTGTTCTTGTTGTGTGTTTTATATTACGGGTCGAGTGTCCAGGTCAAATCTGGTCGACCCACCCAGCTATATTTACACCATCATTTTTGGCGCCACCCGTGGGACCGATTTTCAATGTTTTTTCAACCAGGTCAAAACTTTACCCCCAGTAAATATCCACAATCATGTCTTCAAACAACCACAACATCGTTTCAAGCCAGGCTGCGAGTGAAAGCGCTCCTGCCATCCCATTGATGATGACGAGCATGGGGACGACCTTTGCCCCGATCACCACTGTAGGGTCGATTGGCATGACCCCAATCATGTCGACCCCTACTCCTACGCCAACGACAACAATGTTCCCAGGCTCGATAACAATGCCTGGGGGAGCTTTCACGCCGTATCAATCGGCCTGGGCTCAATTTGCTGCTGACCCGGCAAATGCTCAGGCTCTACAAGGTTATCAACAAGTGATGGCCATGATGCAACAGGCAGGAGGCTTCATGCCATTTGCCTACCCTGGCATAATGCCGCCAACCATGACTCCCATGGCACCCCCAGTGTCGACTCCATCAACATTCGTTCCGAGGATGGTCCATGTACGTCCGGTGAATTTGACAGGGATCATGAATGAGACAGCACCCTCAAATGTACAGGAGGTCGATGAGGCGGAGCAGGAAGTGGCCCGCAGGAGGAAAGGTAAGGCTATAGCCAAACCCAGCAAGACCCGAGATTCGGCGTTTAAACGCCTAGGGGACAAAGAGGATGGACCCCGCAAGTCTGCCAAGCTACGTCTTGGTCCTGAGATGGGCCGGACTAGCGCAATGAAAAGACTTGGCAGGAGTCGTCCCGCTCAATCTCGTCGTTCTAGGGAATCTGAGACGATTCACCTAGACGAGGAAGAAGCTGAAAGCCAGCACAGGGCATCGGTGTATACCAGGCTCTCATACAATGAGGATGACCTGGACAAGATAGGGAGCGTAGCAAGAAAGCTACGTGCCCTGGAGGAAAAGGTGGAAGAGAAGTCGGGAGCAAAGAAGTACACCCTGACCAAATCTCCCTTTTCAGCCAGGGTACATGCACAAAAACTTAGGCGGAAGATCAAGCTGGACGTGGAGAAGTTCACTGGAAAGGAGGATCCAAATGTCCACCTTGATACCTTCCACAATGCAGCACAGATGGCCGGGTGCACTGATGCTGAGGAATGCTGGCTCTTCTTCTCATCCCTGAGAGGGAGACCAGTGGAATGGTTTAACGGCCTTCCCCATGGCAGGATTAGGTCCTTTGAGAAACTTGCCGAAGTTTTCCGCAAGAAATACCAGGACAACTGCATCAAGAGGAAGAAGTTCGATCACCTACCTTAACACGGTAGGGCAGAGGGAGAAGGAGTCCTTGACTCAATTCTTGACCCGCTGGAGGGACGAGGTCGACAAGGTAGAAGAGATGGACGACAAGACGACCAAGTCTTTGCTAATGAATGCCTTCCGGTCGGGTGACCTCTATACCGAATTATGTAAAAGGTCACCCTCCTCTTACCAAGAAGCCTACAATACGGCATGGGAGTATGCCGAGGCGGAGGTCTTGAATAAGAGCAAGCGGGAATTGGAGGAAGGCTATACGAAGATGAAAACCGATAAGCCAAAGAAGGATGACCAGACGGGAGGGTCCAAGCCAAGGGCCACATATGACGGGTCTGTCCACCAAATAAGGGATGATAAGAAGGGAGAGCAACCCAAGAGGCCATGGACGGAGAAGTGATGTACATACCACCAATCCGACTCCCACAATACGGCGGATTGCCGAAATGTCAAGGTTGTGCTCAAGGAGATGGCCTTGAAGGGAGAGCTTGGGGAAGGTTACGCAACGGGGAATAAAAAGGACTTGAAAGCGAACACCTGGACCCGTCCTCAGGGAAAAGACCAGGGAAGGAGAAAATCCGGGAAGGATAACAAGCAGCTGGATAAAGAATTCATCGATATGATTGTCGGCGGCCCAGAAGGCGGGGACACTGGCTCCCAGCGGAATAATTGGGCCAGGAGCTTGCACGTAGCGGTGGTTTCCCTGGAGTCACAAGGGAAGCAGGCAAGGAGGGAACCTATCACTTTCACTGATAGGGATATGCCCAGGACGGGGGGAGATCATAATGACCCTTTGGTCATTACAATAGACATCAATGGGGCTGATGTGGCCAGGGTCCTGGTTGACACAGGAAGAAGTGTCAATGTTTTAAACTTGGATGCTTTCAAGAAATTGAAGCTTGACAGGTCCATGCTAAGGCCGCTACAAACTCCATTGTCAGGCTTCACTGGAGCTAGCATAGAAGCGGAAGGTCAGATCACCTTACCAGTTACCTTGGGGTCAGGTAATAGGACAGTGACCAAACAAATGAGATTTGTTGTGGTCGACATCAAGTGGGTACATAATGCCATTCTTGGTAGACCTGGAATCAATCATGTCAGGGCCATCATTTCTATGGCACACTTATGCATGAAGTTCTACACTCCCAACGGGATCGGGGAGGAAAGGGGTGATCAAAAGAATGCCCGGTCCTGTTACCTAGAAGCGGTCAAGAAGATGACCCGCCAGTTCGAACAAATTGAACTGGTCTCCCAGCAGGTAGACAAGGGTGAGGAGAAGGCTAGGATCGAGCCGGACGCAAACACGGAGGAGATCCAGATTGATGCTTCCAATCCTGAGAGGAAGGTCAAAATTGGGGCTGATCTTCAAGACGAGCTAAGGACTGAGATTGTCCAGGTGCTGACCAGGTATAAATCCTTGTTTGCCTGGAGTGTTGCTGATATGCCCGGAATTGACCGGTCAGTCATTTGCCATCGTCTCTCTATTCTTGAGGGGTCTAGGCCCGTAAGACAGAAGAAGAGATTCTTGGCAAGTGAAAGGAGGGACTTTGTGAAGAAGGAGGTCAAGGACCTACTTGAGGTAGGTCATATAAAGGAAGTAAACTACCCTGAATGGCTGGCCAATGTAGTCCTGGCTCCGAAGGGTGATACCTGGAGGATGTGCGTGGACTACACAGACCTCAACAAGGCATGTCCAATGGATTCTTACCCTCTCCCTAGCCCGGACGAAATGGTTGATGAAACCGCCGAGTGTGAGCTGCTTAGTTTCATGGATGCCTTTAAATGGTATCATCAAATCTTCATGGCAGAAGATGATGATGAGAAGACGGCCTTCCTCACCCCGGACGGGACATACTGTTACAGGGTGATGGCATTTGGGTTGAAAAACTCAGGGGCAACTTACCAAAGGATGGTGAAAAAGTTGTTCAGGCCTTTGCTTGGACGGACCATGGAGGCCTATGTGGATGATATGCTAGTGAAGAGCAGGGCAGCTAGCACACACGCCCAAGATTTGGAAAAATGTTTTGAGATTATGGCCAGGCATAATCTCAGACTTAATCCTAAAAAGTGTGTTTTTGCTGTGAGGACGGGGAAGTTCCTAAGCTTCATGGTAACAAAGAGGGGGATTGAGCCAAATCCTGAGAAGATCAAGGCCATTGTAGAGATGCAACCCCCAACATCGGTAAGGGATGTCCAGCGCTTAACAGGGCGCTTGGCAGCCTTAAACCGGTTTTTATCCAGGTCGGCAGAGAAGGCATTGCCTTTCTTTAAGGTTTTAAAGAAAGCCAATACCTTCCAGTGGGATGAGGAATGCGCCAGGGCATTCGAGGAGCTAAAAACATACCTGACTTCGGACATTGTTCTGTCCAAGCCAGAAACGAAAGAGACCCTATACCTCTACCTAGGGGTGACCCAAATGGCTGTTAGCTCGGTCTTGATGAGGGAAGATGGAGTCCAGAGGCCTATCTATTATGTGAGCAAGGCTTTGAATGGGGCGGAAAGTAGGTACACTCATACAGAGAAGGCAGGGTATGCACTTTTCATAACGGCAAAGAAACTCACCTCCTACTTCCAGGCCCATCCCATCGTCGTGTTGACTGACCTACCATTGGGCACGGTCATGAGGGACTCCACCTCATCAGGAAGAATGATCAAATGGGCCATGATGTTGACCAGTTCAACATCGAATATCGTCCGAGGACAGCAATAAAAGGACAGGCCGTGGCTGATTTTCTTGTGGAGATGACGAGTCACCAGGAAAAAGAACCGGCCAAGGCCATCACTGAGCCATGGTGGTCCATGTTGGTAGATGGAGCTTCCGGGCGGAAAGGTTACGGGGGTGGTGTGGTATTCACAACTCCGGAAGGGTTCACGGTATATCATGCCTTGATCTTTAATTTCAAGCTCACAAACAATGAGGCGGAGTATGAGGCATTGATAGGGGGTCTGAGATTGGCCAAAACCCTACAAATCAACTGCCTCAAGATTAAATCCAATTCGAGCTTGGTGGTAGGACACATCAATGGCAACATGGAGGCCAAAGGAGAAAAAATGCAGAGGTATAGAGATTTGGCAAGGGCACTGCTAAAGAGAACCTCACTGAGTATGTGATGGAGCAAATCCCTAGGGGGGAGAACACCGATGCAGACTTGCTATCGAAATTGACACAAGCAGCCCCGGAGCATGTGTCCAAGCTGGCCAGGATTGAGACGCTAGAGAAAGCCAGCATTGATGGGTTTTCTGTTAGCATGATAGAAGAAGATGGACAGCCCAATCCAGATCGGGTGGAGCCAGATGATATTTGGATGAATGACTTGGTCAGGTATTATATGACCGGGCAGTTCCCTGAGGATGAGGACAGGGTGAGAAAAATAAAGTTGAGGGCTCCAAGATTCCAAATGCTTGAGGGAAGGCTATACAAAAGAGCATTCGGCGGTCCTCTGCTAAGATGCTTGACCAGGGCAGAAGCGGAAAGAGTGATCGCCGAAGTTCATGAGGGTGTTTGTGCAGCCCACCAAATGTCCAGGACACTCGCACAAAGGATCATTCTGCTAGGTTATTTCTGGCCTACAATGAACCAAGATTGCGAGAAGTATGTCCAAAGGTGCAAGACTTGCCAGGTGTTCTACAAATTTCTGGGAAGGCCTGCAACATACTACCACCCAGTTTCCAATGTTATTCCATTCGCAAAGTTTGGGATGGACATCATTGGAGCCTTCCCTCAAGCTCAAGGGAGGAAGAAGTACGTAATGGTTGCTATCGACTACTTCACAAAATGGGTAGAGGCCGAGGCATATGCAACCATTACGACCAAGCAATGCCAGCGCTTCGTTTGGAAGAACATCATCATTAGGTTTGGGTCTCCGCGGAACATCGTGACGGATAACGGGCCTCAATTTCGGAATCCAGGGTTCACCAAATACTTGGAGGACTTCGGGATTACTCACAACAAGGCTTCCGTGGCCTACCCGCAAGGGAATGGCCAGGTGGAGAATGTGAACCGCACAATAGTGGATGTGATCAAGAAGCGGTTGGGTGAGGCAGGAACAAATTGGTTAGAAGAGCTGCCACATATAATCTGGGCATACCGGGTCACTTCGAGAAGGGCCACAGGAGAGACGCCTTTCGTCCTTGCATACGGGTGTGAGGCCACATTACCAATCGAAGCAAAAAAATGACCTTCCGGGAAAAGATCTATGAGGAAAAAGGGAATGAGGAAGATCATTTGGCAGAGTTGAACTTGCTGGAGGAAAGGCAAATGGTCGCCGAGGCCAAGATGATTGAATACCAGCAAGCAGCCAAGGCCTACCATGATAACAGGGTAGGGCCTCGGTATTTCCAAGTGGGTGACGAGGTCTTAAGACGAAGGGAGGCCAGCAAACCAGGAGACGGGGGAAAGCTCGCAAAGAAATGGGAAGGCCCATATAGGGTAACAGCAATACTACGCCCTGGGACATACAAGTTAGAAACAATGGAAGGTCGAGAGTTGGAAAGGTGTTGGAATTCCCACCACCTTAGAAAATTCTACCGATAGGCCAAATTGGCAGGGCATATATTTGTAATACCCCTTCAATGATAAATAAGAGCTTTCTTCAATACTTGTGTTGCTAGGTCAATAATACTAAAATAACATGTCTTGATGTAAGAGACAAGGTCAAAAAAAAAGGAAAAAGAAACCCTTGAGATAGGGGCCTTGATGTTGAGGTATGGCCTTGAGATAGGCTGGGTCTGGAAGAGGACTCGCGTCCATACTTACATGGATCCCTACCAAATTTTTGTTTGGATAGGGGCGAAAAGATGCAAAAAAAAAACGTTTACCGTCTTGCGTGAGCCATCCTTTGCGGATTGAAGGGTCTAAGGAAGACTAGAATTCACTTCAAACGCATAACATATGAACATGTAAGATTGGATGAGAGTTGGTTCTCACCGGCATACCCCCACAAGGGAACATTGGGTTGGCTAGGTCACCCTAATGATTAGAGCATGGCAGATTAAAAGACTTAAAACCTGGAAGAGGGGCCCTGGAAGAAGGGTATTGCCTGGAAGAGAGGGTGACTTGATGATTTCAAGCGTGATAGGTCAACACAAATGTACTTCCTCATCATGATAGGTCAACACAAATGTACTTCCCGTGTGACACAAAAGGACTGGTCAGCGAGGGTGACTTGATGATTTCAAGCGTGATAGGTCAACACAAATGTACTTCCCGCCCTTGATGATTTCCTCACAAGCCCGGTAAGTGGAGGACTTCTTGATGGGTATATCCTTATAACCGACCCGGATAACCGAAAGGGACAGGTCAAAATATGACCGGTCACTTTTATCAATCACCAGATGAGGTTAACTCGTCGATTGGGACGGGTCAAAAGTTGACCGGTCACTTCCACTAAAAAAGTGACCGGTCACATTTTGGGCGATAGCCAATTCGTCACTTAATGTTACGAAGGATATTCCGGAGGACCAAAGAGACGGGTTAAACTCAAGAAATGACCGGGGTAACCTTTTAGAAAAGGTGACCGGTCAGGTTGCGTTACTTGAGAATGGCAATCAACATCAGAGGTCAAGGGACCACCCCGCCGTTCGTCCGTCACAAGGCAAACAGTGAAAGGAATGATTTTCATTTTGCCGGATTGATTGGATTGAGAATATCCATGTTATAGTCTTTGATTGAACAGTACATGTCTTGGCTTGTAGTTGCTAGATTCATTGATTGAATAGTAGATTGATTATGTACAGTGACCTTCCTCCGGGTTTCCTATTTTGTCCATGGATGAACAGGGGAAGGTCACAAATCCTCCTCTATAAATATGATGATATTTGATAGAGGAGGGGATCCATTCTTTCTCTCACTAAAAATAGTACACTCTTGAGACAGAGTAAGAAATATAATTCGGACTGAGGAGATTTACCCGGTCTAGGCCATACTTTGTGTTCTTGTTGTGTGTTTTATATTACGGGTCGAGTGTCCAGGTCAAATCCGGTCGACCCACCCAGCTATATTTACACCATCAGCTAGTGATACAAGTACTCATGCAGGTTTCTTTGTTCAGACAAGATTTTACCTCCTCTTGTAATATTGAACACCTATATTGTAACACCCTAATTCGTCCAGGTCTACAGCCCTTTTGGACTAAAGTATAAACTTGTTATTCGTAGACATTCAAAATATTTCAAACATTTTAAAAACTTTATTTCAAAATAAAGCATTCTAGATAACAATGGAGTAGTTCAATGTTGCGGCAGCTGAATAAATACATTTAAAAAACATAATAATTTTATGTCTTTTTAAACAGTAATTCAATCCACACATCCATTTCGACCATCTCGCCTTATCTGCCTCCAGGAATACGCCACTTCATTCTTTTTGTTTACCTGCGTGTAGTAAATAAAACATCCCCTACACGCTCAGCGTTGAAGCTGAGTAAGCATATCTAATGCGTCGAACATCCATATAAATTGAATATCAAGTCATAATCAAATCATTTGATATAATGCACATAATGTTCAATTCAGACATTCAATAGTCAATATTCATCATTCATTGTCCAATCATTCAACATTTATATTCATTTTTCATTTTCAACATTCATCATTCATATTCAATTATTAATAGTGTCCACAATGCTCATAAACTATTCTTAGTCTAGCTAAGGCCAATATGATTCTTAAACTAATTCTAGTTTAAGATATTCCTAATGAACCCTTAAGCTAGGCCTAGTTTAAGATGCAGATTTTTAAAAAGGGTTTCCAAAATCTTAAATTTACCTTCACTTAAGGTCAACAAGAAACCGACAGCGTAATGTTCACTGTTGGGTTGGGTGGTACCCCCAAACGAGTAGGTACTCAAGTTTGGTTCTTGGATCCATACGTACGTTTTAACCCTGGCCACCTGGCTTCATACCCGCAAGGCCTAACTAAATGGGTATATCTTAAAGTTCTTCTAGATACCCTTAAAATCATTATCAATTAACTAAAATGATCATTTGGGTATATCTTAGATATCTTCTAGATACCCTTCAAAATCAACATCTCTATGGGTATATCTTAGAGTTATTCTAGATACCCTTAACAATACATATTATTTTCATAATCATCAATATATTCATTTTTAATCATGATTTAATCATTCACAATAATCATTTTAATCAGTAGGTTCATCAATCATAATCATCCATAATAATCATTCATCATAATCATCAATCAACATAACATCCAAAATAATAGCAAATAGCGGTCTAGCTTCGACTGTTAACACCCTAGCTTACCGTCACGTATCACATAGGTTTTATTTGTCAAAAAAATCATTTGTATTATGAAAAATTATTCTTATATTAATCATAATTGATTTGTATCAAAAATAGTATTTTAGAGCTCAAAAATAACATTTTCAAAAATATTTTTGGGGCAAAATTTTTGGGGATCGATCCAGACTAGAAACAAATGTTCCCAGGTGATCGATCTAGTGGGGTGGACCGATCCACCCTGCTGGTTTTTGATCACTGTTCATCTTCTTCAACCTTTGGTCCATTTTTCAAAAATACCATTTTTAGTTACCAAACTTCAATTAAACTATATATAAATGTTTTCTAAGATTCATAGATCATTTTGGTATCATTAATTCGTAGTTTTAACAACAATTTCATGGTTTATGATTCTTGGTTCTTCAAGCATGTCAAACCCAAAACTTAACCAAATTAAACAACCATTTATGAACGTAGAAACGATCTATACGAACATTCTAGTCACTAGATATATCTACGGGCTTACCTCGAAGCTTAATGAAGGTTTTGAGAATTTTCGGGTGAAACTTCCGGTGACGTTTGTGGTTAGCTCCGGCGATTTGACAACAAATTAACAACACATTGAACTCCTCACACTCTCAAGAACAGAATGATATTAAACTTACTGAGTTTTGGTGAAGAACGAAGAGAGTGAGGGTGGTTTATATAGGAGAAGGAATGGAGAAGAAGCCAGTTGCTGATGTACGTAGTTCCTGTTTTGGCGTCTTAGTGGGAAGGACTACGATATTCACGATTCCAAACGCAAGTCCATGATTGGTACTAATTTTTTTCCTACTTGGGGTACACTTTTTGGTCCAACTTTCTATGAATTAAAATTCGATTGAACCATTGGGATCAGAAGTAAAACTCTACATAACGATATAATTTTCATTATTTATTGTCAAACTTTATAAATCACTTATTTTTGGGTCTTTCTAAGTAATTAATTAATTATGAATTAATTAATTCTGATAGACCTATTTTTGGGGCGTTACATATATTATAATACTCTATCAATAGCCACAACTATTTTATCCTTTTAGAACTGGTTTTTTTGCCTTTGAAATTTTAGGCTCCTTGAACTTTTTTGTGGACATTGCGCCTAAGTAAATGCTAAGGAAATAGATTTTACTGAGGTGTGTTGTTAGTCATCTGACTTTTGGTTGGAAAATGTTAGTTTAAGGCTGATTAAAGGTAAATATCAAACTTATGCTGCCAATATGATATGTGGTTGAAGAAAAAAATTAGGACAACATGTCATTACTACACAAGCTTATGAGTTTGATTATATGTATCTATGTTTTTCATTAGGTTCTTGTTTAAGGTCTAGGCCAATGATTGTACCCTTTTCTTTTCGAGGGACTTCGGTTGGATCCTCCCCTTATGTGTTCTTACTTTTTATTAATGATAAAATTTTTTATTAAAAAAAGTGTGCAAGTACTTTTTTAGTCAATTTTTCAAAATAATATTAATTTTTTTAGATAACGGATAATAATTCATAGTCTAAAATCTTAACTTTACACATTGGATAAAATTGGCCTTATAGAATGGAAAATATTTGTTGTTATTCTACCGATGGGAAAGGTGCTGACTTTAGACAGTAGAGAAATATCTGTTGTTTGTAGTATAGACATCGGGTTTTTATCTGCTCTCTAAATTCAACACCTTTTCCCATCGGTAGGATGTACAACGACTATTTTCTACTGTGTGAAACCAATTTTATCCGCTTGTAAAATATATTTTGTAGTAGTGTGAGGAGGAAGACATGTGGGTTCACTAGATTGACAATTTGAAATTAATTACTATTTTTGATTAATTTATTATGTTTTCTGGCATGAGTCCCAAGTTGTGTTTGCTAAAATAAATTTAGCTTCCGCAGTGTTTGGATTTTTACTCCGATGGTGGATTTTATTTTAAGAACTGTTTAAATGTTTAAAATTATTTTGAAAATATTGTGTGTTTGGATAACTGATGAGTAGCAACCATGTTCACTAACCCAATTATTCGAGTTATGCGGATTGGAGGTTGCAAGTAACTCTCTGATATCACACTACAAATTGAGAAGCAACCTGAAATTTGAACATAAGGTGTATGTCTTTGAGGAATAAATTACCCCTAGGGTGCATTAAAATATTTTAGAAACATTAAGATAATTATTTATATTTAGAATATATTACGACTTCTTCTGTTAGAAGTGAAATGAATGCTTAAAAGGTAAGATCCATCTATATAGCCCTAACGAGAGCATGCATGAATAATTTATAATTTTAATATTCTATTCAACTATAATTAGAAAAGGAGATTTGCATTTAGGTTGGTTACTCTCAAGATAATTGAAATTTTCAAAAACTTGA